ACGACGCCACTGCGTATGCGGTGGTTTGTTGGTTACAAGTGAATGTGGCTGGGGGGTGGCGAAAGAGGACGAGGTCCAAGGGGGTGGCGAAAGAGGATGACGACCAAGGTCCAAGGTAAGCAGTCAACGTTTATCTTTTTCTCTGGTTTTTTGGATCGGACTAGCAAGGGACCCCGATCCAAGCCAAGCGCGCCGCGCGCACCCTAATCATCACGAAATGCACTCACACGCAGTTAACCAGTCTTGGTCTAGTTTCATCGAGTGATGGTGAAATGGCATGGTCCGTGGTGCTGGTGGCCCAACCTCGCACTCTCTCTCTCTCGACACGTTCAAGGCGGGAAAATGGTCTGAGTGGGGAAAGAAAAAGAGAAGAGAAAAAAGAAAAGGAAAAAAAAAAGGAAAAAAGAAAAAAAGAAAAAAAAAAAGGAAAGAAAGAGAGGCTTGGCTAGGCTCGGCCCCGGGGATAACTTGACTTCCTGCCCTCCACCCAGCTTGGATCTATCCCCTCCCCTCTCTCTCTCTCTCTCTCTCACACACACACAAACCTTTGCACACCACACCCTCTTCCTCGCCTTTGACGCTTTGTCCACTCTCTCGTTACCCGGTCCCACAAAGACATCACCATCACCATCACCATCTTCACCATCGTTCGTTGATCCGACCCGCGATCGAGTGGAATCACCACAATCCACCTTACTCCTCCATCCCAGGCCATCAGACGGGTTTCCCGAGGAAGGTAGAAAGCCTCCCAGATCCAACCAGCGTACTTTAGAAGGATTTTTGGGGAAAAGGATTCGTAGAATCAAGTTACCAGGCAGGTTTGGAACAAACTGATCCAGCCGCCGACGGCTTCTTTCCATCCACACCACCATCCTTAACTTGATCTGGACGCAGATGCACGGTTCTTAGTCTCCCCCTTTTCTCCCATACTGCCTGCGGAGATCTGGCGCCCTCAGTCTAAATCTATCCGCGTTGAGTCTGATCGCCCCCTAACCGTAGAAATCAAGGCTGACCAAACGGATCCATTAGGTTCCTCCTCGTTTCTCCACCAACCCGCCACCTGCCTCCTCGCCATAATCCAAACATGCTGCCTCAGTCAGACGCCAGATTTCAACCCGCCGAAAATCTCTCTCAGATTCCAGCCTCGCAGAGTGGCGCCGCCACCACTTCAGCTGCCTCTTCTAAGGAGAACGACTCTTCCATCACTTTCCCTTATGCCCAGCAGCACCGCTATCCGATCCACAGGCTACCTGCAGTCGCTCCGGATCTTGATTCGTCCTTGAACCTACATTACTCCTCCTCCTCCTCCTCCTCTTCCTCCTCATCCGCTAGATCACCTCTCGCATCCTTCCCGTCTTCCTCTTCCTCCGCCCTTTACGATCGAAGTCCGTTGAGCAAGCCGTCAGCTCAGCCATCAACTCAACGCCCGCCTTCGAGGAACATGATCCATCGCGAGTCGTGGCCCGCCAAGACACCACCCGAGGTCCATAGTCCATCGCACGCCTCCTCATCAAAGTCGCCAGCCTCCCTGAATGCCCTCGCACCTTTCACCCAGAATTCGGATCGAGGGGTCAAAGGAGTGGATGAGGGAGATTCGAGCCATGGTGGCTTAAGCTCTACTGCCGATCAAAGTAGCATCCTTGGGCCGGCCCCTTTGCGACGGAACATGGCATGTCTGACCTGTAGGAAGAGAAAGGTAAGGCTTCCGATTCATGCACGCGTTCCCATACCTTGCGTATCCAGCGACTTTTCTCCATCGTCCAAGTTCTGAAACAGCTGAAGAGCGCGAAAGGATCTCTGACGAACCACAATTTTTTCTGTTCTACCTCCATTTCAGTTGCGGTGCGATGCGGTAAAACCAGTTTGTGGCACTTGTGCCAAAAGCCGGGCAGTAGCTGCTGCTGCCAATCATCCCGCTCCTATTCCGGACGGAGACTGTGTCTACGGGGAGCCCAGTAAGAAGAGCAAAAAGGCAGGTAAAGGCAGTACCGAGGATGGATCGAATCCTGTGGATGAGGAGGAGATGGGAGCCGCGGAATCGTCCAAAAAGGGGAAGAAGAGGAAGAAGGAAGGGGCCGCGGGAAGCGAAAATGAGCTTGAACTCGCAAGGATAGCACAGCTGGAGGCGCAGGTGCGAAGGCTTGAGAGCATGCTTGCCGAGAAAGGTCGATCCTCTGCTGGCCGGGCCCTTTCCTTTGGCGAGTCGTCCAAAGCATCCGACCCTGCTTTCTGGACCGCTCCAAACAGCGCGATCGATATGACGAAGCCTGTCGCCGAGCCAGACCCCCTGCTAGAGCTTCTCTGGGGAGGATACCCGTCGGATCTCCCATCTCCGGACACGATCCTCCATCTTTCGGAAATCTTCTTCACCCATTCCCCCTACAGGAACTGCGTGTACAAGTCCGCCTTCATGGTAGGTTTGACTCTCCCACCTCGGCACCCTGGCCGGCCGCACATGTCGCTTCTCCATGCCGTCCTTGCGATCAGTGCTCCTCTATCCCCACACTTTCGGCCCAAGAGAAAGCGAGAGAGCGATTTGGTGAGGAGGCGGGATGACCACTTTGGAAGCATACCTGGTCTTACCGATCCCGACATAAGACCCAAGGCTTCTTCCGAGGAATTGAGCTTCGCAGAGTTCCATCTGACGAGGGCGAGAATCAAGACGGAAAAGGCCCTGATGACCGAGCATCGCACGATGAACAGCTGGCTCCAAATACTTCAAGCGCTGACCCTGATCATCTACACGTTGAGGCTCGACGGTCATCTACTCGAGGCCTTCCTTCTCTGCCCGGTCGCCTGTAGGCTGACCACGCCGACAGGTCTCACCCGGATGCCCAGCCGTCACGACAGAGGCAAGGAGTGGCCCCCATGCTATCTGGAGCCGCCAGCCTCGGCGTCCGAGGAGCATGAGCGTAGGTCGTTCTTCTGGCACACATGGCTCGTGGACGCATACACGTCCGGTGTCAACCATCTGTGGCAATCGGGCTTGGACGATGACTCCCCCATCACGACCGTCTTCCCAATCAAGATGGCCGATTTCCAGGCTGGGCTCGACCCTCCGCCGAACCCTCAGAGCCTGCTCTCCGACGACCTCTTCACCAATCTCGAGAACGACGACGACTTCCTCCTTCACCTCAAGTCGGGAGTACTGTGCAAGCGAGTCTACAAGATGGTCTCGATTCAATCCACAAAGATCAAGAAGAACCTCAGGTCTTCGCCTGCGTACCTCAAACTTGAGAAGGACATCCTCGACTTCCTGGCCAGGCTGCCGCCGTACGACTTCACCGGTAGGGTCTCGATGGACCTGCTGGTCGCATGCCTCAACGCCAACCTGGCCATCACCATGCTCTACAAGGGGCACAAGACCCGTCCTGTGGGGATCGACAGGACCTCGGAGCAGTACAAGAAGGCGAGGCAGGGGATCCTCTCCATCTTGAGGATCGCCTATCAGCTCAACGCCTCGAGCTTCGACCTCGCCTTCGTCCATTTCCGAGCCGTCACCTGCTTCACCGTCGCTGCTCAGACCATTTGTCACGAAATCAACTGCCTCCTCAAGGACGGCGGTAGCGTCAAGGACACGGGCTTCGAGACCTCGGAGGAGGACGAGCTGGTCGAGCTTTTTGGCGCACTGGACGCCATCCTCTCGGTCCTCCGAAGAGCCGAGGAGAAAGTCGCCTGCGCCGTCAGGGCCGTCGAGATCATATCCAGGTTCCGATCCGAGGGCTGGTCGACCGCTCGCGTCGACCGCTCGTTCCTCGTGGTGGGGGTCGTCAAAAGCCTGGACGAGCAGGACGAGGAGGAGAAGCAGAAGGACTCATCGTCGAGGCTCCCTGGTACGACCTCGACATCGTCTGGTCGAGGAGACGGAGACGGCTCTGGTTCGAGTTTCGAGTTCCACCCCATCGGCATGAGCGGAGGTGACGGGGGCGATGACGGCTCTCGTCCCTTGGGGCCCACTTCGTTCGTACACCAGACTTGCGATCCGTCGCCGATCAACAACCCCTCATCCGTCCACGCCGAACGTAGCAACGGACACCAAGGTACCGCCTCTTTCATGGGATCGGCCAAAGGAACCAACCCTATGAGGACATCTTCGAATCAGGTCCCCATGACGAATGTGGAGCAGAGTACCACATCAACCAACTCCTCCTCACCTCCTACCCAATACTACGCTTCGAATATGACCTCCCATCCTCCTAATGCTCGTAAGCAGCCACAACAACAACAACAGCAACAACATGATCATCACCATCCAACTTCGCCCTCCTTCCCAGACTTTGGCACCAACATGACCACCACCCCACGTCAAGGCGACCAAAACCCTTTCTCCTCCTCCTCCTCCTCCTCCTCCATCCAACCTCAGCAGCAGCAGCCTCATCAAGTTGGACCGAACAACCAAAGCAACGGCCAAGGTGGTCAAGACCCGCAAACCATGCTCACCTCCATCGCCACCGCCGACGCAGAAGACACCCCCTTTGCCAACAACGCCACGAGCCTGAATCAGACGCACCTCGTCCCCCAAGGCAACAGGATCATATCCCTTCCCGTCGACGAAAACCCCAACAACCCCTTCTTCTACAACCAGTCCATGAACATCGACGATCTCGATTCCTGGGCCTTTTTCTGAAGTCAAGATATACAGCCATCCCCTTCTCCATTCCCCCACTTGTAATTTTCTTTCCGGATTTCTACCAACCACCTTCAAACTGGTCCTTTCCTTTCATTTTTATCTCTTTTTTTGGGATACTTCCCCCCCCACCCTTTTTTCCCCAAGAGAAGAAATCTGTACCTGAATGGGACATGACCATCGCTTTCAAGGCTAGAAACTTGGGTGCGTGGACTGTAGTGGTTTCCTTCAGAATAAGAAAAAGATGAATGAAATCGGAAACATAAGATCAGGTTTCATGCAGAGTTGACGCCCGGGGGGAGGGGGGGTTGTGGAGAAGTTGAAAAAAAATGTGGTAAAACGAAATTAAAAAAAAATCAAAACAAAAAGATTATGACAAGAGTGGGATTCGAACCCACGCCCGAAGATACGCGTTTCCAGATTGAAGAACCTGTATGATGATTTCAGATCGATCCTGAAGCGTACGCCTTAACCACTCGGCCATCTTGCCCGTTGGATGTCTGTGGAAGTTCAAGCATGACTATAGACCTACAAAATCGTCTACTCCTCAAACCCACTTCCACGTGGTGACGTTTCCCAAACCGACTTGAACCAGTGAGAAATCTCCCTTCCTCCCCAACCTTACCTCGGATCCCTTCTTCCTCTACGGAAAAGGTTTCCCTGCCCCCAAAACAGCCACTTCCAGTCCGGAAGAGGGCAGGAGATGGAAGAATGTGGAGAAGGGGAAAGGAAGGGTGGAAAAAAATTCCAAAAGACTCCGTCAATGGATTCTTGAAAGGCCGGGTGGGAGGAGGTTCGTTTTCTCTTCCCCATTTGGCGATGCGAATCGGAAGCGCAGAAGAGGGGGGGGAGAGAGAATCCGTTTCCTGATCAAGACCCTGAGCTTGGAATGATCCCCCCGCCCCACCCCCCAAAGAAGACACCGTGTTGAGTCGCCAGAATGGGTTCGGGAAAAGGTGACCAAAAGGAGAAGGTGGGGTGGGCGGGGTGACCGGCCTGTTTTTCAAGCGTCTCTTTTCCTTCTCTCTTTCGAAAGTCACACCTTTTTCTCTGCGGGGTTGGATATAGATTCCCATTTTCGTTCCCAAAGGCCTCCAAACAGGATTTTTTATACAAAAAAAAACCCAAAGAAACACGATGGAATGAACGAAGAAGGAGGGAAAATGAAAGAAGAACTTTTTTCAAAAAAGAAGAGTACAACTCTCTTCGTTATCCCAAGAGGGTGAGAGTGAGGTGGTTGCATGGGAGACAGGGAGCACAAAGACACAAGATCGCAGAGACTGTTTTAAGGAGGAATAATAGGGAAGGGCAAGAAAAGTTCGACATATAAGAAAGGAGTGTGTGGGGGGGGGGGAAGAGAGAGAGAGAGAGAGAGCGCGGAAGAGCGAGAAGGAATCAAAGCATCTCGTTACCGCCTCTGTGGACCCACTTGTCCAAGAGGTCGCCGATCTCCAACTCAAGGTCTAGACCTCCCAAAGCCGCGTTGGGATCTGCGCCTCTTGGGACGAGCCCCTGATTCCTGCTACCGCCACCACTTGCACCATAATACTGTTGTGGCTGGCTGTAGCTGTGGTGGTGGTGGTGTTGGTGATGTTGTGGGTGATGAGGATGGACAAGCTGTTGCATTGGTTGGTGGGGTGCATGACCAGTCATCATGCCTCCGCCGCCGCCACTATCACCATGAATTCCTGGAGGGCTTGCCTGCCCTGATCGAACGCTGACCGAGGACGGGGCGTTGATGCTCATGTACACTTGTCTCTGGCCGTCATAATTTTGGCCCATCTGTCCACGACCATCCTTCACCATGCCGCTGGCTTGACCATCGTCTCCCAGGTTGTGATTAGAATTCAATCCGTCGATCTGACCTGCAGATGAAGCCGCCGCTAGGCCGCTCGAGGACTGGTTCGTCTGAGTTCTGGTCCTGTTGAACCCTTGGTCTTGGATGTTGCCCTCGCCACCTCCGCTGTAGCCGGGAGTCCGGCCATGTTCCGTTCCCGGGATAGTGTGTGAATGAGAGGAAGACGGTCTTTTTCCCGTTTGTTCATGTTGGAGTCCCAGCTGGTACAGAACGGTGTTCGAGTTGCTGCTACGCCGAATTCCGTACCGAGGTGTACAGGTCAAAAAAAAAAAAAGACAAAAAGAAAAAGGAACGAAGAAACAAACATGTGGCGTCAATCAGCCTGCAAGGCACAGAAAACGATCACCTCATGAAGAGCAGGCGTATCTACTCACGGAGGAACTTCTAGGTCAAAAAACTTGCTGATGTCGGCCATGTTCGCCATCTCATCCAAGGCCGGATTGGGTAACAAGCCAGGGTTTGGAAGCCCCACACGACCGTCGCTACCACCCGGTCCTCCGATCGGGGAGCCCCAATTGGTCATGTTAGCGCCAAAAGAGCCTGTATCTCGGGCCATCATCATCTGCCTAGGGCCGTTTGAAGACGGACCTGAAGTCGAGGAGGCTGCCGGTAGCCCAAGCGCGTAGGCTAGGGCCTGGGCTTCGGAATCGAGCTCGTCACCAATCGGAGCGAAGGAATCGAAGCCCAGATCCATGACCGTGCCGTCGAATGAACGTTGACCGCCCCCATGGCCATTTGCGGGCAGGGGCTGACCGGGAGCATCCCGCTGTGGTAGCCTTACCGGTGAAGTCTGCGAGGAGAACACGGATGGCTCCAGGTTTCTCCAACCGGAGGTCACTTCGCCTGACGTGTGATGAGGCTGGCCTGTCGGCCACCCAGCCGTCATCGATACGAGTCGACTGAAGTAAGGCAAAAGCCTGGAGACTTGGGCCATACTGTTCGTCCAGACAGCCGCAGCGGATGCGGCCCTTGTCAGAGCATCCCAGCTCTCCTGAATGTTTGAGCTTCCGCTTGACGGTATCGAGTGAGCTGCGGCCAGTGTGAAGTAAGGGAAGAGAGGAGGCACGTTGTTGCTGCCAAAAGTTGACACGTAACGAATCAGGAGGCGAGGTAGCGCCGCCTCTGATGTTGGGCTAGCTATGGTCACCTTGTAGAAATCGCCGCGACCGCTGGTCCGCCTCCTCAACGCCCCGGCAGCTTCGGGCGGGGCACGAGCATCCCAAAGACTGTCTATGTTCCAAGCAGGTCTCCTGTTCAGCTCCCCATCCGTCCCACCTTCACTAAGTGCCGCTGATCTTTGGTTGACGGAGCTAGCTACCCTCTCAGCCATGGCAAAGGCGAAGTGATACTGCAAGGCCAGGTGCCAGACCTGGCAAGGCTGTGGACCCGATGGTGCCAGAGGACTCGCGAGAGACCGGGGATCTTCAGCACCCAGCAGAACGCCGGCCAGATGGGGTGGCAAGGCAGACCGCCAGGCATGCAACTTGGCCATGGTCGTGTTGATGTGCTCAATCTGGTGGGTGATCAGCTTGGCGTTCCTACCCCCCGCAAAGTCTTCGGATTTCGCAGACGCATACAGCCCGGAAAGCTCTGACAAGACCTCCGCCAGCCCGATCTGAGCGTTGAGGGTGCTGATCATCCTCGCCTTGACAGTCTTCGAGGCACCTTGGGGAAAAGCTTCCGACTTCGGTATTTTGGCCTGGCAGAATGACCACTCGTCCGTGCTGTGTGTCGGGTCAGGAAGCTGTACATCAAATTCCGACCTTCGGAGGGCTGGTGCCCGCCCGAGGGAGATGGAGTAGAATGTGTCCAAGATGAAGATGACCCACCAAGTGAGTCTCCTGGCTTGCTCGATCTGCTCCTTGCCGAACGGCTGAGCTGGTGTCTGGCTCTGATCCTGGGTGCCGGAACTCGAACTCCTTGCTCTTCCACCAGGTACACTTGGTTGAGCATCCGGCATCAGAACATCGCTCGCGCCAGCGCTGCTGGCGCTCGGTGTCGGCGGAGCATCTCCATTCCCCCTCGGCGTCGTGTCACCGGTGGAGCTTCCTGGCGTCTCTCCCCGCGCCAAATGCGCTGGCTTGGGCCTTGATTCTTGACAGACGCCTAGGTCTTGCGCCAGCCTGATTGCCATCCCTAGTCCGACCCAAGCCCGTGTCACCCGATGACAAACAAAGTCTACCACGCTCAAAAGGATCAGAGTTTGCACCGCTTCAAGGTCTCCCGGCCCGTCCGCCCTGCCTCCCGGGGAAGTGTGGGAAGGGCCCGTCTCCATCACAGAGCCCGAGTTGGCATAGAAAAAGAAAGCTCTCGCTCGGGAATGGCACTCGTCCGAGAGGGCCATCATGCGTGCCCTCTCAGAAACCTGCGCCGCACTTGGCCTTCCATCAGCAAGCTCTTCACCGGTTCCGGAGAGAGCCCCGTACCCGCAGCATGAGAGACTGCAGATAGCCAGCGCCAACGCACTTCGCGACTGGGACTCGGCCCTGTTTGTCCCCGGGGACCAAGAGAGTCTATTTTTGCCCGAGGAGCTGGAGCTCGAACTCCATTTGAGCAGAGCAGCTTTGTCAATGAAGGGATAGATGGGGTGAAAGTGGGTGAAGTACTTATCAAGAAGATTGTCCATCTCGTCCTCGAGTTCCGCAGGGAAGGCCAGCGCTGAAAGCAACATGTCAGCAGTCGAATCCTCTGGGAGCCTCCTCCGTTCTCCCTGTTGGCCAAAGCTTGCCTGATGACGAGTCGACGTTTGACTCTTGAGCGAATGCTGGGCGGAGAGACTCCCCGGGCTGTGTACAGAGTTGGGTGGTTGGTGAGGAGGTCGACTGTGGGGCTGCGACGGCGGGCCCATCGGTTGTCGGCTTGGGCCAGCGCTGTTCGGACTGGAACTGAAGCCGTACGCAGGGCCGGAAGAGGCGTGGAACGATGAGGTGGGTGATGACGCCGAGGGCGAAGTATAGCTCTGATGACGATTGCGCCCATTGAAGGGTTCGACAGGCGGCCCCTGACCGCCGTCCCGCCTGAAAATGCCTTGGTCGCCCGCGCCGACTTCCGACTTGAACTGCCTGGGCCCGCCACCGCCATCTTCTTCACCATCTTCATCGCCCAAAAGCATCCCCAGGCTAGGGGCCAGCATCCTCGCGAATTGTGACCGTCGCCAGACCTCTGCAGATTGGGCCTTGCTCATGTTCGGGAAGATGTTTCCGGGAGGGAAGTGGGAGCTCTTTTCGTCGTTTCCCGGGCTTTCGCCGGATGGACTTGCAGGGCTTTTGCCCAACTTGTTCTGGGTAGGCTGTTGAAGGTCCAGTTGGGACAGGGCCTTGGACGGGATGTCGGGAAAGTACGAGATGATGAAGCCAAGGATGCTCTCCAAGATTTCGACCTGACCTTCAAGCTTTTGCCTGACGCCTTGAGTCGGGCCCCTTTTCCGTTCAGGTCGGTTGTAGGTGCACTCGCGTCCCATCTTCTCGCAAACTTTGAATCGATCGGATGGCAGGTAACAAAAGAGGGAGTCACAGGTTGAGGATTCATAGGGGATCGGAGTCCCAGCGGAAAGTAGGTTGACGAGGGAGGGTGAGTATGTGCTGTCCGGATTTTTTTTTGGTCCCTTCGTTGGTTCCTTTACACAATCGTGA